AACTTCTAAACAAATATAAAACTCCACCTTTTTCTTATTTTTAGTAAAAAACAACTTACAACTTTTTATTTTCTATAAAGAGCATATATATATATGTATGTAGAAGACATTAAACGCGTTATTAGATTCACAAATGACAGTGCATGTAATATGAGAACGACATGATTACAATTCTTTTAACATGCCTACCTACCTATTTGTTTTATTGACACTGGTACATTTGTATTTAAATGATAAGACAGCATTATGATTGATTATGACTAACGCAAAACCATACGCAAAACGTAGTAAGCGATTTATATACTTTGATGACAATAATAAAATCATCCTCTCCATTAGAAAGCATAAAACATAATAATACTGATCTATTTGTAATACGAGTTCAACAAACGGCTGTAATTAATATCTATTTTAAATCTAACCGAACTAGGGTTAGCAACATATTTAAAAACTATTATAGCTCTTTCAGTAACAATAAATTGCAATTTAAATAAAATAAAACTTCCTAAGTAATGCATACATCAAAAGTTTCATAAAAAGCATAGACAGTATTTTAATGGTTTATTGTAAATTAAATAAATTAATTTTAATATTGACTATTTATTGGTGTTATAAAATTCTAAATTTCGATTTGATTAAAATTTTCGCGCTCTATTCGAGTTTCTAGGCGCTCATCGTCTTTAATTCGACGTTTCGCACGATTAACATCTTCAGCATTTCAGGAATACCTAATACATCGTCAAGGCATGTGTCACCGAAAAATTATACCGATCTAAATTATAAAATAAGAACAGCTATACAATTCGATATACTAATTTATTACTTTCAATTTCAAATAAGTCTACGAATTTAAATCATCCTAACATTTTATTTTATATTACATGTATGTATTAAGTGTCCCGAAATAATATTCCTTTTCAAAATGAATGAACTAATCAACTTAAACAATTAATCAAAAACCATCTGGAATTTTTAAACATAGCATTTCGGATAATTTTAGCTTTGATGATGTAACAAGTTAGTGTAATAACGATTACTGTATGCACAAAACTGAGTGCATCATAAAAATTATTGTACGAATGAAATAGTTTTCAATTATAGGTGAATTATTTGCAGTCTAAACAAAAAAAAGAACGGTGTAATTAATATCAGGTTGCGTCATTATACCATATTACAATAGATAAACTTATTACAAGAAAATTACGTCGAGTACTACCTAAGTAAAAACAGTTAAATTAATTTTGGTTCAAAGAAAAAAATCGTATAAATAAAACTTCGACCCTCGTCACGTAATAATAAGGCAAGTGTTATACTTAATTATGGAGCCAGACATCGGTTAATTATCTAAACAATTTACATTTGGTTGTTAAAAATAATTTTTTTAGTGGGAACACGACGAGTGAACGACTTATCTTTCGAAAAAAAGTCATGACTAATATCGCCGTTGTGTGTTATTTTTGAAATTTTATATTCTTCCAAAAAAACCTTTTTTTACTACAGTATTTGGTATAT